AACAAAAAGTAATCCTCTGCACCTGCAACACACTCTTTGCAAAATACTCAGCTTTGGGCTCAAAAACAGTCATAAGACCCCATTTCTATACCTAGATCAATCTAGCACGATCTATCCATCCCCAAAGGATTTCTCTCTAAATTATATTCAGCTTAAGTGGCTCTGCTGTCTGGCAGGAATACTGAAGCTGTTAGGGGGGTAATTAACTATCATTTAGCAGCCACAGTAGGCATGCCAGACATCTAAGCCACTTAAGCTGAATGCAATTTAGCAAAAATCCCCTCGGAGATAAATCCATCTTGCTAGATCAATATACTTACAGAAATGGGGTCTATGACCAAAAAATGCTATCAACAACCACACCCCCTTACCTCACGCAGGAATTTATGCGAGTTCAGCGAAGTCTCCATGTGCTTGCACTGGCTTTTAAAGATGGCCACCAGTGAGGTGACCACCAGGTGGTGAAGCTCTGGGATGTACAGTTTCAGGAGATCATCAAGAAATGAGAGGTACGATCTAGTGAACTGCACTGTGTTGGTGGTGAGTGCTATGAGACAGCCATCTACAAAAAAAAAAAAAATTTTGTACCCTTATTGGTTTTTAATAGCAGGTGCTGCAACTCAAACAAGTAATCATTTATTTAATACATCAGTACTCAGTAAAATATAATGAGTGTAAAGTTTAAATTTTTTTGGTCAAGTAAGAGATAAAGCACATAATCAAGAAATCAATAAATTATCTATTTTGATTCCTTTCACAAGGGAAATAACTAAATATCTCTTCCAATTAAAAAAGCATACATCTACTGTACTTACTTATATATATCTTAATTTTATAATATTTATTCTGTGTGTGTGTGTGTGTGTGGGGGGTAGGGAGGATAATTCTTATCTTGAATTCTCTCCTGAACCTACTGTAGATGTACTTGTCCATGTGTGCTATACCCAGATCTTCTAACTCGCTGACAAACTTATCAACAGCATCTTCATCATGGAGGTTGATGGGGCGCCACAGGTCATCCTGAAAGATATGATCATACATTTTTACTTCTTAGATCATATATATTGTAAAGTTTAATGTTTGTCAGTAGCATACATTCTACGAAACTGAAATATTTCATGTCTTAAAAGAGACTGAAAAGTGATTAAAATTAATAGAGATTATGAAGGCTCTCTCTCTCTCTCTCCATATTCCCACCAACTCTCTAAAGTTTCACTAACAAAATAAATCTACCAACTCCATCTTGTTTAAATTAAAAGATGATATACAGTAAAAAAAAGCACATACAGCAGCTCTGAGCTTGGTAGCCTCTATCAGCTGGTCTCTGTTGTCTGCCACTGTCTTCTCCACATCTGGTAGCAGCATGGTGTTGAGGTTAAAGGTCAACTCTAGTCCTATATCACTCAGCTGGAACATAAAAACAGAGCACATTCAGAACAGATGATCTGCGGACTAACTGAGACGCTGACTTAATATGGCTGACCCCACTCAAAAAGCGATGTTGCAATTAAATTTTCATTTCTTTTTATGACAATTGTAAGCTAATCTGTTACAATTGGGAGGGGGGGGAAGGTCCACTCTGGGTAAAATTTGAACTAAGTATACAAAGGTTTCATATGGTAAAAGGTCCATTTTTTTCAGCACCCCCCCCCCCCTTTTTTGAAACTGCTGGCAAGAGACCTGATATATATCTGGCAGGTTATAGAGAAGATGCATGCAATCTATCAATACAAGATGAAGTCTGAGGTTTTTATAATTTCAAAGACCAGAAACAAGATTTTTTTTTGTTGACTGGCAAACACATACATATAAAAATATATAACACACACTGGTGGAACAGTATAGTATAAGTACCTGATTGCAGTGTTCCCTGACTAACTTCACACAGTCAGCTATGGTGGTGAGACTCATTTGACTGGCAAATACCTGGCGTCCAAATAAACTCACAAATGACTGCAACTCTTCACTGACCCAGACTACAAAGGCTGAGAGAGACAAAAAAAAAACATTTAACTCATAACTACCAACATGAAGGCTCTTTACTGCATCAAAATTTTGGAACTTTATAACAAAGGTGGCCAAGAAATCGATGGAATAAGAATAAACGACAATATATAAAATTAATATTTTAACATCTTAAATGTAAATGTGACACAAAATATTGATATAGAAAATTGAAAGATAAAGATAATATTGCTGAGAATTTTTCATCTTATAATTTCTACCCAAAAAGCATGCATTAAGCTCTCAAAATGCTTTGATTAATTCCTTATAAGTTTTGACAAAACCCAAGTACATAAACCAATTCTGATATCATGGTAATAAATGTACCTGAGAAGCAAGCATAATGCTCTGGAAATGCCTTCATGAATTCCTTCCCAGTTTCTTTCAGGGTGTTAAAGAACACATTGCACAATGTACGTATGTAGATGGTAGTGGCCCCTTCAAACTTCAGCTGCTTCAGGTTGAATTTAATGATGGCACTTCTGTTTTTGAGGAATAAATCACAAGCCTAATGATAAAAAAGAGAAATGATTTAACACTGATGTTCTTACACTTGACGGGTACCACAACAGAAATGTTTTTAGAAACAAAACACAATTTGAAAGATTTTTTTTAATGTAAGTTTTAATTGTAAAATTTGAACTGTTTAAAAATGAAACAATTGCCAAGCATGCTATTAAAGGAAAGATCAAGAGATAGTCAGATACCCAAGTAAGCCAGAGTAATAGTATCATTCTTTGAAAAATTTCAAAAGAATACAGAAAAAAAATCGCAACAACATAGAAAAAAAATCAACACTTCAAACCAAAAAGGGGAAAAAGCATTTTGGCTCTATTCTGTAAACTGTTAATAGAAAACAACACATTTTGAACATTTATGACTTTTATGGACCCTCGAATTCATTACAATTTAAACTCAATAGCATAGTCAAGAAGGATAAGAGTCTGACAGGGTTTACAATGTCAGGATATATGGCACAGACACCTGTTTAAGATAACACCTGGTCTGACACAGGGAGCATTATCATGGTTACAGGTACTTACCTGTGCTGATTTACCCAGTTTGACGAGGTGTGTGACCGCGCGACGTGCAGCACGTGGTCCTCCTCTTAAAGATCTCTCTGGAGATACCTGTAGCTCATGCATCAGCACCTCCGTGAGCTGTTTTACTCTGTGGTCAATACGTACTCTATGACAAAAACAAGGTGAAAAACTATAAGAAAAAGGCATTTCTTTTTCATAGTAAAAGTGCATCAAAAAACACAAAAAACTGTTTTTAAATAAAGAGCTGAAATATTTAAATTTTCATCATCAAAATATACTGTAAAAGTACTAAATTTATTATGTAAATGTAATAGGAAAGAATAATGTCTATGACATTTAAAAAACATACCCATTAAGTTGAGTTATAATAATGTGAGCAAATGCCAAAAATGACTACTTAATCAATTGTTAACTATCTTTTTTTTATATTTTAAATTTCTCACCTGTACTCCTTGACAGAGGCTGAATTTGGAATCTTCTGTAAATGTTCATTGACTGAAAACAAAGAGTGAGTAAAAAGCTAGTTACAAAGCCATTATCTTTATCATTAATCAAACTGTAATACATAGGAATACTATTCAATTTCACATAACATTGTGCACATCATGAAAAGTTATAATATTAACCATACAGGTGAGTATACCTGCAAATGCCTCTGACTGAGTATAAACCATGCATCTCAACGAACTAACACACTCACACATGCAAACACAGACACTCATATACCTCTATCTATCAACTCCACGGCTCCTTCAAAGTCTCTCTGTGCTATGCACACATCCAGGTCCTCGGGTAGGTCTTGGACCCATTCTTCTTTTAATAACAGGTCCACCTCAGACGGAATGGTTAACGACTCATCTGGCTCATCATCATCTTCATTAAATGCTGAAAGTGTATGTTTAAAGAAAGCTTAAGTTTTGTGGTGAGGTATATAACAGATTGTGTTAGTTGTGCTTGTTGTCTGCTTGTGTTGGTTGTGCCAGATTGTGTCTGCTGTGCCTGATTGTGTTGGATGTGCCTGTTAGTGCTAATGGGGATTGCTGCTAGCAGATGATTGTGTTAGTTGTGCTCTCCTATGTAAGTTGTGCATGGTTGCCTGGTTGGGCCTGATTGTGTTGCCTGGGCCTGAATGCCAGATCCATTTTAGAGATGAACCTGGATAAGATAATTACTTTTATCTTAATCAGAATGCCTTTACTGACTGTAAAAAAAAAAAAAAAAAAAACACAAAAACTGTTGTTATTTTATGAAGTACATGTAAAAATATTTCAAGGAGTGGCTGTGTAGAAAAACTAGTGTAAATCTGACAATAACATTTCAACAAATAACTTCTAACTTGTACATACTAGAAAGAAAGAAGAAATAACGGATGGAGGCTAAGGGGAAGAAAGAATGAAAATCAAATAAAATGGGAAAAGGATTAAAACAAAAAAAAAATGAAACAACAACTGATCAATATGATTGAATGTTCATTTTATTAAAGATCATTTTATGACCAAAATCCATTAATAAACATTGGACAAACAAACCATTCCAAGCTATAAAGTCATTGACCATCATCTCATATATATTAAATACATCTTACAAGAAGTCTTAAAGAGAGCCCAATTGCTGCTACTGTCAAAGACGCAGGAAAATGAAATTCTATGCAGCTTCTATTCATATCTGATATCTACCGACAAAGATAAACTTATCTGTAATTTCCCTAACTTGACCCCTTAAGCAAATGTCCACATCAGAATATCAATATCTCACTTGATAATCATATTTATCATTCCATTTACCTGAAATTCACCTGTCAATTGCCAATTCAAACTTTCGTGTTACAGATCTCACAAAAAGCTCAAGCAACACTTTTCAGTTCAACAATTTCACATTAATTTCAATGCTGTCAAATTATTTCAACAATTTCTTTTTTTAATTTACCAAATGATCATCTGTTCTATAACTTGAAATGTGCTTTTAAAAAGTTCATTCCATGAAAAAGTTTTAAACATAATAATGGCATTTAACAACTGGAGAAGGTAGCAGCCTGTCAATTCATGCAGCCAGGCTCTAGCAGCCACGAACATCAGCCCTCATACAAATGTGACCTTGCCAGTATGTTGGGTTGATTCGCAGATACCGAGTATATATTGGAGGGGCCAGAACATTCTCTTTGACTGTGTCCAAGTCAACATTTCCTTGGAAGGTCTGGAAAATATGAATAAGAACATCTTATTAAAGATATATATGAACTAACCACCTGTGGAATGTGGATTCCCAGTAACACACATAAACCACTTCTACTAGTTTCTTATACGACTGTAAAAAAGGGGATATGCCAAAGGATTAATTGAATAAATCACTCCATCAGCCATAAAAGAGCTTACGACTGTTCCTTTCTTCATATTTTTGGTCAGAAATTTAACCGACTTATGTGACCTACTTTTCAGCCCCGTGTATCTACAGCATAGAAAGCTAGCAAAAAAATCCCTTCAAATACCATTTTTCGGGTAATATTAAACAATATCTTACACATACACACACACACACACACAAACACACGATACAAACCTCAACTTCCCCTTTTGAATTTCTGTATGGTTTCATTAACAGGGTACTGTTTCCATAATATAGCTGGAACTTCAAAACAAAGAAGGGTCTCGTGTCTACCCCCTTTGTCAGTATGGCAGTCACTCGTCTAAATCTCCCAAAATCATACTGCAGCCACTGAGTCAAGTCATTGCTATTGGCACACCACCCACCATAGAGCGTATCAGTTTTCACAGAGTATATTCTAGAACGAGTGCTGGCATACTCTGGACTGTTACCAGATACAGAGGAAACTGTAATCTGGGAGTCAGAAATGGGTGTGTTTCCTGACACCACTAAATCTCCACAGTCATCAGGCACTTGGGGATTAGCTGACTCCAACTGCTGCATTTTCAACTCTGTTTGCTGAACCTTTGCAACAAGGTTTTCAATCTGCACTTTTTGCTGGTTCAACCGCTGGCTGAACGTCTGTTTCTGTTGCATAATCAGCACGCTCTGGGATTCCAGCAGGCTACTCTGATCCCAAACTTTCTGCTGAAGCTCGGACACCAAGGCGGCAGTGTGTGCATCCCCACTGACTCCAGCGCTTGCAGGGAATTCAAATGTGTAGCTCACTTTAGTGCCATTGCTTGAGAAACTCTTTTGACAACTGCAAGATGGGGGTGGCTGTTGAATGTTAGGCCTCTGGGCTAATACAGAACTGCAGGAAAATGCTACAAACAGCAGGAATGACATCATCAAATAACAAACCATCTTGAAAGAACTATACACAGCCCACTGGGATAGCCTTGATGACAGAGTGTAAGAGCCCAATTTAATTCAGTTCTCCCAAGGTGCGCTTCTTTTATATCTGACACTTTAGTCCTGTTCACTCAAAGCACTATGTTAGCGCTGAGCATAAGAGAGGAAGAAGACCATCACTGGCATATTTCTACACCATACTTGTGCATAAATATTGATGATATAAACCTTAACTTTCAAAAATGCAGAAAATATTTTCTGTGGGGATAAAAACTGTGAACACATGAAATCCTTTCTAACTTAAAACCAATTCAGAAATGCATAATAATAAAGTTGTGTGGATGTGACCGTTGCACAAATTATGGAGTATCTCATGACCTTCATGGGGTCATCCGTACAGGCACCTGTTGTTGTTTGTACATCCC